GAGTAAAACCTCGTGGTTATAACTATCCAAAGAGCACGTACGCGAAACCTAGCGGTAATAACAATTTCCCTAACGGACATAGCAGTTGGGGGATGATTAAGCCCAGTGGCTTAAGTAAGTAAGTAAGTAAGGCCTTGTTTGAAAGTGACAATTACTTGATAATATCTACGATGTAGAAGGTTCTAGCGACAGGATCTGGATTAGCATCACGTTTGAAACCTAACAACGATCCCAATAAAGGAGAATTTAGAGATGCCCTTAAGCTGAGATATAATTGGGAATTCTCTGACATCCCAAACCGGTGCGTCTGTGGTGACATCTTTGACGTGGACCATGCGATGACCTGCAGAAATGGCGGATTTGTGATACAACGCCACAATGAGATCAGAGACCTGGAGGCGGCACTGCTTAGCACCGTATGTAAAGATGTGGAAATCGAGCCTCCCCTGCATACTTCCCAAGATACTCGTCTTGATGTTCTAGCCAGAGGTTTTTGGGAGCGACAGAAGTCTGCATACTTTGATGTCCGGGTATTCCACCCTTATGCTGACTCCTATCGTGAGAAGACATCCGAGCAAGTCTTTAAACAGCACGAAAATGAGAAGAAACGAAAGTATGCCTGTAGAGTATTGGAAATAAAGCAAGGATCCTTTACACCCCTGACCGTTAGTACCACCGGAGGGATGGGCACTAAATGCAAAATTTACCATAAACGCTTAGCTGAACTCATATTCATTAAGAAATGTGAAACATACTCTACCACTATGTCCTGGATTAGAGCCAAAATCTCTTTTGCGTTCTTGCGATGCGCCCTCTTGTGCTTAAGAGGTACAAGAAAGAAGAGAAAAACATTTGAGACACTCGCTACAGATTTTTTTAATTGACAATGCTATGGCAAATATAGGCTAGACATTTTTAAAATTTGTTTTTACAGTTTTTTAGAGTAAGAGTGTCATTTCCCTTCTCATATATTTTTTTAATGTAATTTACAAGGATAATTTCGATGCACGTTTTTGTTTAATTCTTTCAATACGAACTAATAGTTGCTTTCGCGATTTTTATATGTAGGTCATTTTTGTTATCAAAGTTAGTTTGGGTCTGATACGAGTCTGATCCTAGAGAACCAAATTTAATAGATGTATTCCGTGTCAACTAATTTGGAAATGTACGAGAGGAAAAACCATTACCCTCGCAAAGTTATTGTAACGTTTTAAGTTTTGAAATAAAATTATTATTATAAAAATATTATTATTATTATTATTATTATTATTAGTAGTAGTAGTAGTAGTAGTAGTAGTAGTATAACATAAGTAATCATTATTATTATTACATTATCATTATTATTATTATTACATTATCATTATTACAGTCAGTTACTATGTAACTGACTGTACGATCCTAACCTCGTTCTCAGGGTCTCTCATCTTCCCGCACCCTTCTCTCAGTACTCCAGGGGGCGGAAAGACGAGAGACCCTGGGAGCGAGGTTCGCACGATCCTTGCAACTCTCAAAAAAGGAAAGAAAAAAGAAAGAAGGTAAAAAATATGGGGAGAAGGAGCATTCAAAAAGCGCCACAGGTTCCAAACCAAGGATCCACTTAACACATAGAAATTGATATTTCATCATATCTTTGGATAAAATAGATAACTATGAAACGCTTTCAGGGCGATCCAGGCGCAAAGCCCTCGATATTTAGAAAGTTCTTTTTATGGATTTTATCATTCGAGTGCATCCTTCTAATTTGTTTTCAGGTTGTGTCCTGTGAACAGGTCCTCATTACTACGCTGAAGGACGCGCGTGATTTCGCGCGTGATTTCGCGCGCGGAAAGATTTGAGACGAGTCAGTGAGAGGTTTGCCGGTAGTCGGATGAGGTTGAGCATGATGTAGTTTCCTTTGGCGAAAATATTTTCCCGCGGACATTATCTGTTCCAAGGTGTGAACAGTTTTCCTAGAGCGAAGCTTGAGGAAAAGTGTTTCATTTTATTTACCTTTTCGATAACATGTCACATAACTTCTTTTTTTTTTTAACTAATTTTGCGGCGTCAGCTCAGTTCTTGCGTGACCATGCTGATCGAGGTGGCTCTTTCTTGTTTTTCAGTAATTTACTGGAAAACTTAAGTGCACATTATCGAAATAGCTAAAAATGGGGTGTTTGAGTAATATACGGGGCTCTTATGGCCCTTCAGCCAATTATAGAAGACTATTTTGTTCCGCGCGGTACAACTGAACCAATCAGGCTGTATTGGAAGATGATTGGTTGATTTGTACTACGAGTTACAAAATACCCTTCCCTGATTGTTGTTGTGCCATATGAGCCTCTTATACTAATTATTTGTCGTTTATTCTCCTAATAACAAGATAGTGTCATGGAATTGCCATTATTTGTTTGGATTAAATCGTCAATTAAAAAAAGGAACTTTATTTGTTTATTTATTTCCTAAGGAGTATCTTGTTAGCTATAAAGATGTTTTTTAAGGTCCCAGGAAAACATAACTCAAACCTTTCACGAGTTTTAAGATCCCTTTTTGAGCCAGATGGTCACAGATGGGTCATAAGGCCAGGGGAACAGCAGAAGCATAAAAAAAAAAAACGCCAATAACAAAAGAAAAGGCGTAACTATTTATAACTTACATCCGTGTGTTTGTAAAACCACCATGCAAGTGATTAAAGAGGAAGATAAATCCTAAAGGAAATGCCAAGGACACATAGAAGAAACTCACTTTATTGGCATAAAGTTGTTAAATATCCTGCGGGAATTTATTATGGTGAACGGATCGTTTTGGGAAGACATTCTTCAATAATTCCGATCTCCTAGAGGATCGCTCATAAAGTGTTGAGAGAGCATCGATCGCATTTCATCGTTAACTACAACAATGTCTTCCAAAATTTCTAGATCATGCCGCCATCATGTTAAACATTGCCGGTTATTATGAACGTCATGCAAGAGATTTTATTTGTGCCGAAGCCTTTGTTCAAAAATTTGGTGCTAAGTCTTGTAGTCTCTGATGTTGGAGTTTGTTTATTTGGTCAACCATTTCAGACTATTTTTCTGATCAAGTGGTTACCGCTGGACAATCCTAGCTGCAAAATTTACCGCCGCGTGTGTAACATGATATTTATCAGATACAATGAAATATATGAAGTTCATATATTTTGAACTGCGGTATTAGATACATATGGTGCACGATCCTCGCAGTAGATAGCGCTATTTAAGCAATAGCGAAAATCAGACCTGAAAAAAATCAGGCCTGTACGGGATTCGAACCACTGACCTCTGCGATACTAGTGCAGCGCTCTACCAATTGAGCTAACAAGCCAACTGGGAGCAGGCCGTTAAATTGATTCGTAATAAACCCGTGAAAGTGATAAATCAGATACAATGAAATATTTGAAGTTCATATATTTTGAACTGCGGTATTAGATACATATGGTGCACGATCCTCGCAGTAGATAGCGCTATTTAAGCAATAGCGAAAATCAGACCTGAAAAAAATCTGCTCCCAGTTGGCTTGTTAGCTCAATTGGTAGAGCGCTGCACTAGTATCGCAGAGGTCAGTGGTTCGAATCCCGTACAGGCCTGATTTTTTTCAAGTCTGATTTTCCCTATTGCTAAATGGGGCTATCTACTGCGAGGATCGTGCACCATATGTACATGATATTTATCTTCGGCTATTATAAAAGCCGTCTAATCTGCAATTTAAAAATGCGATCGAACATCTTAACCGCCACCATCTGTCGAGATACCTCACTGGCTCACAAAGTTTTTCAGTTGTCATTGGCTTGTATCTTTTAAGGTGACAACTGAAAAAAAATGAAATCCACTTCTCATGGTATGATGTCCTTTTTAAGAACACCATACTTTGAGAAGTGGATTTCATTTTGTGAAACTTCATCTCTTTTGGGAGGAGAGGCAACATCTTTTATTAGTGAGTTGATACCATGAACAAACAGTGTTGTAACGAGTCTTCGCAATTTTTTCCGATATACTGAACTTAAAGATCTTCGTTCCATTTTTATCGCCAACTGTATCTTCAACAATGTTCTAACTTGCACCACCATCAAGTTGAATACCGCCATACAACTGAATCTACGCCATACATAAGACTTCTGCGGAGGATCCAGGATTTTGAGAAGGGGGTTCGGAGAAATGAGCCGCCGAAGGCGGACCCATCTAGGAGGTTCCGGTGATTAGGTAGATTACATTTTTGGATTTGCAGCCAACTGTCTGCGTGATGGGATACTTCCTGCCTGTGCTAGTGCTAGTGAAACAATTCGTTTCCTTCAAATAATTTTGACAAAGATCGCATTTGGATTTCCACTTAAAGCAACCCCGCTGATTATCTGGGGTGCAATGTTGTTGACGAGGCTTACTGCTCAAGATTTCTTTAATGTTTTTAGTTCTACGAAAAGCTGGGATGTTATACCCTACCGGAAAAATTGTTTTAAGAGATGGTGAATCATAAATAAGATGCTTGTGCTTACTGATAATTTTTCCAATGCTGGGTAGGCGGGGATTGAAATCAAGCACCAGTGGAAAGATTTGTTTGGACTTCTTGGGTTGAGGAGGGAGCAATGTTTTTCTGGGGATGGACTGGGCTTTCTCAAATTGTTGTGAAACCAAACTAGGGTTATAACCTCGGTTATGTAAATAGCCCTGATACTCAGAGGAGCGATTATCAAACGCCTCATCGGTGGAACAGTTCCTTCGAAGTCTGCTAGCAACTCCATTAGTGCTGAGAAAGCCCGCAAGAGAAAAGTTCGCTTCTTCTTCTGTTCCATTACGGAGACGGTTTATTAATGCCAAAAATACTTCATTTGAATGCTGAAAATATAAAAAACCGGTTCATCATTATATGATTATAAACAATGCTTGAGTATAAAATTGTTTTGTTAATCAACGTATAACATGACCAATCAGAACGAGCTTACACTGCTGTAAACAAGTTAGAAACACCTGCCTGCCGTATGAAACCCTCATCCTGTGAGTTGGCAACTTTAATCACTTTCTAGAATTATAACAGTTTATTAAGTCAGAAGAGAAAACGTTGCCAAGTCCAAACCTGGAAAAATTCATCAATACTTTGCCAACAAACTTCCACAAAATGGTAAGCAGTTACTAAAAGCCTACATCTCAAAGACAGTTGATATTGTGTCTAAAGCGACAAATCTTAGTGGGATAAGCGAAATCGCTGTGTCGTTATGAAACGCAGATTGTACATGATTTCCATATGCGAACATAACCGTGAACGACACGCTGTCGGTCATGATTAATTTCATGCACCTTTGAATTTCAACAAACTTGAAAAATGTTTGATATATCTACCAAGTTTCTTTCGCATGAAAAACTGTTTAAAAAAAGAGCGGTTTTAACTTTGTTCTTCCAATGCCGCCGGGAATACCTGATTTATTATATTTGGCTTCTTCAAATTCAGGATAAATTATTCAATAAAAGTGATTGACGCCTTGCTAGAGTGATTAACGCAAAATGAAATTAAAGAAGTGCGAAATTAACCCATAAAGCTTTTCTACTGCACTAAGTGTAGATTAATAATTATGTAAAGATTTCCTAGGGGAAAACAGAAACACGGTTAACTTTCAGGACAAATTAAACTTACTGTCCCCCATGCTAGTTCAGGCGATCTCGATCTCGAGGGGGATTTGCACCCGGTTATGCCTGAGGGGTACCACGTAGACGCAAAGGTCCTCCATGGTCGAAGGATTTTTGTACTACAAAATTAACCTTATTCCCTCCCCTCCCCACCAAGGCTCTGCAGTATTCTACCTCTTTAGAAGTAATTTTTCCATGCTCACCCCTTTTAACTCTGTTAGCGACGTCTGATCCCCCTCCGTCCCCCCTGAAAACATGTGATCCCCCTTAAATCCTCACCCCTCTCCCAGTCAATAAGTAATTTTATAGTCTCGTGTCCAGACCTTTCCCGGTCAACCGGTTGTAAGTAGCGTTGCTCCCTTATCAGCAGCCGATTGGATATTAGCTGGTCCGTTGCGATTGTTGATAATATCATTGCTGTGCGACAAGATTGCGCCATCAAACCTAATTTGAACTCTTTAATGATCCTATTCCAGCGTGATCACAGAATGGCATTGCACTCAGTAATAATTCTCTTCACCTTGGCATGCATTGCAAACCTTTCTGAACAGAGCTGTGGCGAACAAAAATCATCCGAGATGCATTTCGTCCTGATGGGGCATGCATATAATTCAAGCCAGGTCGCAGATTACCCGTCATGCCTGAAGATTTGTATGAGGGAAGCAAACTGTGTCAGTTTTAACTTCAACTTCTACACCCAAACATGTGAATTAAACAACAAGATAAAAGCGACAGCGCCTGGCAGTTTTAAAGCCATCGATTACAGCGTGTACACAGAAATGCTCAAATAAGCAGTTGATATTATAAAGTGACACTCGACTGTTGTAACAAGATAAATTTCTTAAGGACATAAGCGAAGAAATCGTAATTATTTTGTAGCGTAGAGCAATTCTCGATTTAAAGTCGAAATTAGTATGGGACGGCAGTAGTTTCCGTTCACTACTCTCTATGATTGGTCTACGAAACTTGTGATAGTTTGTGAGTAGGTCCTCGTTATTCAGAGCAGTGTTTCCTCGCCCGCAAGTATGATGTCATGAATTTTCGTGGAACCAATGGCACTCATTCGTGTTTTTGCTTTTCTTTCTTCAATTGCGATAATGGGGCAGAAGTCAAATTAATTGTTTTCTCCAAAAATGGTCATTTTCATGCTTGTGTGCGTCCTTGATTTTCACACGAAGAAAGCATCAAACTTGTCGAACATTTGGAGGTGATAATCTTCAATCTGACTCCATATTTTTAAAGCATGAAAGTAAAACAAAGTGCAATAGTGATCAGCACTGTAAGTAGCGGAGGAGTGATAAACGAGTCGGAGGCTTGGGTTGGGTAGCGACCCAACTCACTCTCTTGTTTATTACAATTGCGCCGTTTCATATTTCGCTTCGTTTTACTCTCTATGGCAAAGGTCCATCGTTAAGAGAATATGAACTGAGAGAACCTCTCACCAATACATGCACCTCTTCCAATGATAATTTTTTTAAATCTAATTTTAGTGCGCGTTCCTGTTGCGCGACTAATTTGAGAACAACGGTGGATTGTTAGCGGTTCTGTGGCGAAATGTGATGTGTGATGTTTGACGGCCTACGGTTTGTAGTTTGTGGTGTTCCCTTTATAATGGCATTTTTCGGTCAAGACGATACAAACACAAGCTGAGAAAGCGTAACCTCTGAGCGTTACTCTCGAAGCTTGAGTTTTTCTTCCCCTGTATTCCACAAGTTAGGGTGCGTGAAAGATGAGAGGGTTTGATTGAAAGAATTGAATATCTTGTAATGGCTGATTCAGGTAAATTACCTCCAGGGTCATCGATTAAGCGGGATTGGCGCAACATAACTGATAACTGGCATAACACATAACATAGTTCATATTCTCTTGCCATCAGGCAATGTTCACTAGAGGTACCAGCTCATTTTCAAAAAGGCTTTTGATTCAGTGTGGCTTGATGGTCTCTTTTACAAACTACTGCAAAACAATATAGGTGGAAAATTCTAATTCAACAATCTGTACCGCTCAAAATCAAAATGTTCAATAAGACTGACGACAAAAGAACAGAATTCTTCAGTTACAGTAAAGGTGTACGGCAAGGTTGTATCCTTATATTCCCCAGTACTTTTTAACCTCTACTTAAACGACATTCCACTTCTGTTGGACCGCGATGATACAGACCCAATAATTCTACCCAATGGAACCCGCTTAAATTCCTTATTATACGCTGATGATTTGGTTCTCATTTCGAAATCAGCAGACGGTCTCCAAAATGCTCTTTCTAGTCTTGAAAACTTTTGTAATGAATGGTTACTATCTCAGGGACTCGTGTGTGCTTCAATAAATATATCTTATTAGACGTTTTGTTGTGTAGTATCGCTGAGTATTTTTACGAGTTGTGTCGTAAAAAATACAGTTAACGAGTAAAAATACTCAGCGATACTACACAACAAAACGTATGATAAGTTATTTATCATCCAACGCGCCAAACTGTTATTTCAGTGCGGGCGAATTTCGCGGATGTATTTATTTACGGGGAGTGCGTGACAGAAGTATGCGAAGCGGAACGGAATTGGCGCATTGTCGTGTTGCTGTTTCTTCAATAAATGAAGAAATTTCCAGGTCGTCTAGCTGTTTTTCTTCGTTCGATTCATCTAATAAACTTGGATGTATGTTTGCCAGCCATTCTGACTCTTCGTCGTCGGAAAGATGATTCAAATTGTCCGCCATTTTTTTTTTCGTAACTACAATTCAACTCTTCGCTTGCGCGATGCGAGGAAACCTGTTTAACCGGTACTCTAGAGTACAAATACAGCGCGCTATTTGTACTCGTCTATGGCGTTATTTGTACTCTGCGAAGCTAAGTGTAGTTGAATGATAAAGAAAACATAGTAAAGGGCTTGTATTGATTTGAAATGGATTTTAATACTTGCCGTGTTTTCGCAGGCATTCTTGAAGACTGATTAAAACTGGTTAGGGAAAATGAAGTAGAAGCCAGGGAATAGGCGTAAGGGAACAGATACTTGTATTTGTGCCATCTGGGCTTCTTGCCGGTCAATTTTTTTTTTTTTTTTTTTTTTTTGGCAGGCTACTGAAAAATGTTTGGAAAATATTACATTAAAGTGGATTTTTGTTCTTTTTCAAATCCCCGATGTTCGGAGCTAAACTTTATTCAAATTTTGGGGTATGATCGGGGGTGTAGTCTCCATCGCAGCCGTTGTTTGGGCTATCACGCAACAGTAGTCTGGCGCAGCGTTGCGTGACCTCCTGGAGAACGGCATGGCAGCGAAGGAGACTATCTGGGGAGGTGACTGAATTCTTTTCGTTCCTTTGCAACGACGCTCTATGTCAGCGGATATCCGCGTGAAGAGAGACGTGCAGCTTTTAAAAGCTCTTTTTCTCTTGTAAACACTCGTCAAGTATTCTCTGCCATTTACTTCTACGGCTTAATTTAAATCTGACTTTTCAAGGCCATTGATTCTTTATATCTTGCGGTTGTTTACGACCTGTGAACTTTTTAAAAGCCGTGCTTTACGGGTAAGTGGGTTACGTAGCGCCAGAAACCAGAAGTGGAGTGGCCCTTGTTCGCTGTGAAGCTCTGATAATTTGTCTGGTTTCTCGAACTCTCTACGAGTTTGGTTTGATCCTTCTATAAAAACTAAAATCAACGTGCTGAGGTATTTCTGAAAGCAAGAAATTATTGAATTTGGATTCGCGTGGAGAAATTCCGAAATCTTGAGCGGAAGGTAAGTGCTTCTAGTAGTGAATATAATTTACGGCTTTGCCCCCAGAGGCTGCGATTCATATGATCAGGCATTTCACGGTTTTTGCTCGCTTAAAATTTTGAAAAGCATGTCAGGTGGTTGTATTTAGTATTCACAGACAGGAGTCTCACAGTTGTCGCCAATAATTGTACAAAAATAAATATCAAGATATGTTGGCAGCACCGGACTCCGCTCGGTGACTACTTACAGTTAATTATGGAACAAGAACTGATTTACTTTCAGTCTTGATATTTTCCTTTTGACAAAAATCTACCCTGATTTTAAATGTGGATGAACTGTAATAACGAAATATAGTATTATTGAATTGCCTTGTCCATATGGAAGGTTTAGATTTTTTTGAACGGGCGATCGAATATTTGTGCGTGAAATTTTGACGACAGATGACCGACCAATGTTCGATTCCTGCCAAATTTGTCATGCAAACATATAATTGTTTTAAATTAACTCCGCTTACACTTACTTTTACATAAGATCTGATATTCCCAAAAATTAATCAAAATTTCTTGTAAATTTTTCCGAAGAAAAGTATTAATTTGGCGCGTTTTGATAGAGTTTTACGGATTCATTACACATCGTCTATTTGTTGTTGCGTGGAAAAAAAAAAATGGATACCACAAGAACATTTCATGTGATTAAATTTGCCTATCCTTGTAGGTGGGGTCGCAATTCCGGCAAAACTAAATACCTTTATTTGCTAGATCGGAAATGAGAGGAAGTTCGTAGTTCCTTCGATTGTCGCGGAATGAAGGTCTGCCCATGTAGTGCTGTTTACAAGAATAACTTCAGTTTGTTGACAAGCTAAGCTATTTAATCTACACATTTTGGATCCCTTTAACAGCTCTACTAGAAAGTACTTAGAGGCAATTTCTCAAATTCCTAATCTGGTAAGCAGATATGTTAAACAGAGCTTGTCAACTAGTTTTTAAAAATCTGTCGCACACGGATGGATCGGTAAAACATTCGCTTTTTAATAACGCCTGCTGCTCTGTCAGTGTAAATTGGCTGCCCATATCAGGGATTTATTTGTTTTTCAAAATTCTGGCGGTGAAACGACTTTGCTTCGAAAAGCGACTTTGCTTCGAATTGACAAAAGTGTAAATTTCGATATTCCCGAGCCGAATTCTCAGCGATCATGTGTTCCTGGGAATATCGAGAGGTGTATGTGAATTTTTTTTTTCTTTTGAGTAATTTGTTTTAGTCTTGACAACTGAATTTCATTTGTAGACAAGTTTTGAGAAGTGCTGAGATGCTTACCGTATTGTTTTTTTTCAATGTATTTTTTCGTTGTTTATTTTAGCCATCTTGTATGTCAGATTTCTTTGTGTGGGAAAACGAATCTTACGGCGTTGTTCTGATCTCAGTTGTAGCTCCACGTACGGGGGTCCTATTAAATTTACAAAATGAAGGGAATCATAGTTCATAGTGATATGGCTATTGTGAAGGGGTCCATTGGTACCGCAGGTCGAGTAACTCTAAATTTGCAAGGGCTTTCAAGCAAGTATCCGATCTGTCACGCAGGATGTTTACTTACTCGACAAGCCAGAAATCTGCTATTAATTGTGGTCAAGAACGTGCATGATTCCCTGATTCCCTGATTCCATGATTCTTTCCGAAACACCCTTGGCAAATACTGATGGCAATTTAGGCATCTCAAGCTACTGAAAATTTTGTAAAGTTCTATGAAAATTCAAGTCATCCTAGATAAATTAGTCTATGTTTTGAGAGCTTGCAGGGCAATGAGAAATTTATGAAAATCTCTTGATACTCATCTACTCTGCGAATAACACTTCGATTATTTACATTTGGATTAAATGGCAAAATTAAAATCTGATAAACTTGCATCTGATTTAAGGCATGGAGAAACAATATTTTCAAATTTTATTACTTGTAATTTTGTCAACCAAGGATGCTTGACACCATCAAGATTAGTCAAGTAACAAACAGCTCATAGATGTAATCGACACTTAGTTTGAAAGTGCATCCCTTGAGAAAAATCTCAAAATGTGAATATTTGTGTGTTTTACAAAAAGAGTATGTCTGTCTGTTCAGCCAATGTAGTAAATTTAATACAATGTATGCTTGTTAACTATTAACTGTCTCAGACGTGCACCCTTGCCCCTCATCTAAGGTTCCATTTTTCAGGGACTGAAGACCCCACCATAAAAATGACAAAAAATTGAACCTATTAGGAAGTTTCTTATAACTCAATTTCTTGCAAAAATACTGGCATTTGATTTTCCTTTTACAATAAACTGTTATCTATTTTCTGTTTTCTACTTAAAAACTAATGAGAGAATTGCAATCTTTGATGAAAAAAATTTTTTTTCACACAAAATCTGTTGAAAATTTTTGCCTACAAATCTGGGATTTAATGATTTACACTTATGCATTATACAACATTGACATGCTATGTAATTATCAGTTACAAAAAAGTTACTGGGTGTCAGTTTTTAGAAAGTTGTTAAATTTTGAGCCGGACAAAAGCAACTGTCCTAGCAAAATTTATTGATACAAGAGGAGTTGTTGTCAATTAAGTTCTGAATTATACAAGATGTATCTTTAATTATTTGTTAGAAATCTCAAAATGAATATATGTCTAGCATTTTTTAATTAAAAAAAGATTTCATTTGCATAATTTTTTTTTTTCTAACTTGTGTCTGTAATAAATATAGTAATGGCGGTACTGGTACATCATTACAAGTGCTCTGACTTGTGGTCAAACCAAATGGCAGAGTGATAGTGAAGTACGCTTTCATTTAAATTTCTCAATTCGCAGTTCACATATATGATTTTCATATATTCACAGACATTTCTACATCACTTTAAGGGTTTATTACAAACCTACATAATGACCAGCTCCCAATTGGCTGGTTAGTTCAGTTGGCAGATCACTGCACGGGGTGTTGCTGAGGTCATGCGTTCAAATCTCATACATGCCTGGATTTTTTTCCGGCCTTATTTTCACTACTGCTTAGGTAGTGTCCATTTCTGTGAAGATTGCTTTCATATAAAAAGAGTAATTATATTTTTTATTAACTAATGAGTTGGTTTGCTGTTATTGTTTAACCAAACACTCTTCTATTTATTTCAGAAATGTTGTAAACATACAATCATGCTTGACCACTTGTTTTGTTGTTCTATAATCTTAAATTATTTGAAAAGAAACCAAGATGTTTTTATTAAAAATATGAAAATGTAAAACCAACAGAAGTAAATAAGAAGTCAAAGGTTTGTCTCACAAATGCAAAAACTTAGTTCACATGGGACGACGTTCATGGTGTGAATGCAAATTTTTTTAATGTTTTTTAAATGTTTGTTAATTGTTTTCCATCCCCTTATCACAGTGGGTAATTTTTTGTCAGAACTTTCCTAATTGTGTTGGAATATGTTGAATGATAGTTAATCCAATCCCTCTATAATTTTTTTCATATTTATTATTGGTGGCAAAAATCTTTAACTTTTGATGTCTTGTATACTGATAGAGTATGATGATTGTATGAAACGAGAAAATTGGATGTTTTATTTTCTTGAACTTGAATTTTGCGTGGTTGGTTAAGAGTGTGATATGAAGGTAATTAAGCGATGGAATGGCTTATATTTTAATACAATAAAATCTTTTGTTAATAATCCCTCATCAAGTATGTATATAGCAATTTAACATCATATTTCCCAAAATATGAAGTTTGCTCATTTCTGGTTTGCTTCCAGATTTTTCAGACACCTCATTCATGCATTATCTTAAGGTCTTGCTGTTGATCAAGCTTAATTTAGTGCATTGAATAACAACTCTTGAGACATTGATCAAAGATAACTGAAGTTTAGTCATGCAATCCTGTTTTTTGTTCTGTTTTAGGGGCAGATTAAATTACCTGTCACTAGTGTTTAGCAAGATCTTGAAATACTTTGATCTGCTTTTAGTCGATGAGCAGATTTAATGAATTGAAGTTAATTCTAAAACCTGGATTGGTGAGAAATGTCAGGTGATCCAAAAACTGGACTACAAACTATGTAATTATTGACCAAATTATTCTCATTCTTTCAGGCGTATAATCATTTGATTTAATGTATGAAAGGTCATGACAACTTTGCATGAGTTCAGCTTGAGACTGTTGCATGAAATGTAGGTATGTTCATAATATCAAGGATTGTTATGTTGTCAAGCTTTTTTTGAGGGTGGCTGTATGCTGTTAATCACAAATTCGTAAGCGCTGTCAGGATTTCTGTACTTTTGAGTCAGTCAAGCTCAGAAATTTCATGCACAGTGCAATTGTTATTTTTTTTTTTGTTTCTTCCTGAAGTGATGGCCACTCTGTGATTGTATCTGAAGATAATCTCTTTTCAAAAATCTGTTTGCTGAGGTGACTCTGTTTCAACACACAGGATATCCAATTGAATTCACTGCAGTACTTCGAATGATGAGCAATCAAAAGCTGTTGAAGGAATTTTGAAAGAACGTAGCTGGAATTTATAGCAAAACCCAGAGGAGAGCTGAGAAAAATTTGTCACACAAAACATTGCATGCATGAGTGATTTTTCCCACTGCATAGCAAATATCTGTTAAAGAGAGTTAGGGTTTCCTCGCAAGTTTGGCTGGAAGTTTTACCTAAAGTGAAAAGCCTTGGACATTTGTCATGTCTGAGGAAAGTGATGAAAGAATCTCTAGAGTTGAAGCAAGGAGAAGGAGGAGGGAACAGAGAAGACTCAGTGTAGACACTGATGAAGAAAACAAATCGGTGAATGGAGTTGATGACTCTGGAGTTGTTGGAGGTGGTCGGTCTCGATCATCAACTACTGATAGTGATATTGAACTAACAAAGGCTCTAAGTCGGGAGGAGAAGAGGCAAGAAAGGAGGGAGAAGAAGAGACAGAGAGAAATGGCAGAAAAATCCAAAGAACCAGCAAAATCAGCTGCTGTTATAACAGACTTCAGCAAAAGAGAAATCCGAGAAAGGAGGCCCAGTGATCCTGAAATCCTGTCTGGGGGTAGTGAGAGTGTTGATGACACTGACAAGGAAAATGAACAGATAAATGCGCAGAAACCAGCAGGTAAAAAATCTGGTTATGGCTCATATGCCTCAGCTTTGCGACGAGGATCACAGGGCACTGATGTTGACAAGAGAAAGGAACGTTATGCAGCTGCAATAGAAGGATACAATGTCAGGGATGACGATGGTGATGATGACATCATGGATTATTCACCGCGTGACCCTATGGATCAGCAACCAGACATCAAGTCAACTGCACCAGTAAAAAGAATAAAAGAAGATTATTTGACTTCAGCATCTGGAACAGGAAGGAAAGTAGAACGTTCTGAGGAACAACCAACCCCCCATCATTTGGAAAGGCAGTGGCCTCCTCCCCCTTCAGAAGATGATGATGATGAAAAAGAAGGAGAACCCCGGAAAGGCGTGGTGAAAACATTTGAGGAACCTGAGGCGGTAGAAGAAGACAGAGGAATTGATGAAGGTCATGTTGACTCAGTCAAGTCTTTGAAAGAACAGTGGCAGGTAAAAGAGCCATCTAAACCATTGGGTGTTAACAAACCTTATGTCCCCTTGAAGAAAGATGATCTGTGGATCACCCATTTTAGGCCTGTCATTGATGAAGGAGAAGCCCCAAAAGAACCTTCATGGTTACAGACGGTAAGGCAACGTAGATGGAGATCCACTGTAGCAGCGCGCTTTCCTCAAGATGACCAAGAGAAGGCTGTCTTTGAAAATCGCTCCACAACACCAAGAAAAATTAAGAAGCCTAATCCTTACACTCTCATGCGTTCAAAGTCTGACCTTGATGATGAATTTGAAATGGCTATGAGGCGAAGGCGTCGGAAAACTGATGATGAAGACTCTGTTGATGCCAGCAAACGATCATGGTCGTCTTTTGGGGAGGCAGATCATTCTGATTCTGTTGCTGTGCTGAGTAAGGTTCCAATTAAAGGTCCCTTGAAGGAGTACAAGAAAAACCTTGAATTGGAAAGAGCACGCACAACCATGTTAAAATGGACATTTTCAACAGACCTGGTTGATGATCCTCTTCGATTTGATCTTCCCAAGCCCATCGACCTGACAACGCAAGAAGACTATGAGAAGGAGCAGGAGTGGAAGTATATGCAGTCACGTCGCCGATTTTTGAGTGGAAGTGAAACAAATGGTTTTGGAGATTCATCAATGAGATCATCAATGTCTTCACTGAGTGATGGAGAACATCCTCCCAAGTCACCTGTTTTCAGCACTCCTGGTGAGCCTCTGAAAAAGACATCTGTTAGTTCAGGGGAGTCGCCCAGTCCTGAGCCTAGAACTGATGAGCATGTTGAACCAGCTGAAACATCTGAACCAGCCAGAGACCACATGTTCAGTCAGGGAGTGTCTGACATTAAGAAGAATTTGTTGACTTCAACTAAAGAAGAACCCCTTAAATCCACTATTGCTGATGATAACCTTGAATATGTTCCTAAACTGGCTGATATAAAAAAGAAAATGCAAGAAAAAGAAGAATCAATACCAAAGTGTACTCCTCTTAATGAAGAAATCCAAATGCTTCCAAAGATGAAAGACATTAAGAATAGGTTTTTGGCTCCCAAAAAGGAGCAAGCTTTGAAGAACCCTGAGTTTGAAGAAGGGGAACAGTTTGAGAGACTGGAAAGCCTAAAGAGTAGGTTTCAAGCCAAAGATGGTGAAGAAGAACCACGAGCTTTGAGCAAACCTAAGTTGAAAAAGAAACTGAGTACTAGTGATGACATGAAGGCAATCATGGCAAGCCGTAGGCAGATGACAGATGAGTTTATAAGTGAGAGTCCAGACACTGCACAAGAGATAAAAAGTTTAGCCACTGATATTGCCAAGACCTTTGGTTCTGAGGGTGCTGATTCTCCAAAGCAAAAGAAAGAAAAAAGAAAGAAAGAGAATGAAGGAAACAAGAAACCAGAAGTAAGTGAAAGTGGCACTGAAGAAAGTGAGACTCCACAGTATGGTCCTTGTGGAAAGCCTGAAGGGTGTGGGACAGATGACGAGCTTGAAAAACGCTCAAATAAGGAGCTGGATATTTTGCCAACACTTGGAGATGAACTGAATGAGGAACCAGAGCCCATTTACAACAAAGAAAAAGTTCTTCAAGCTGAGTATGGTCCTTGTGGAAAGCCTGAAGGTTGTGGAACGGATGACGAGCTTGAAAAACGCTCTAGCAAAGAGATGGATATTTTGCCAACGCTTGGCAATGAACTGAACAATGAACCAGAGCCCATTTGCAACAAAGACAAAGTTCTTCCAGCTAAGTCTGGCTTCTTGGAAAGTGCTCCAGAAAGAGATTCATTCACTGATGATGATCAAATCGAGCATTACAGTACAATGAGTGAGGAGGATAAGATCAAGAAGCAAGAGTCAATAGACACAGTGGAAACTTCGGCTAAGGAGAGTGACACCGAGAGTGAAGCAGAAATGCACTCTAAAGAAGAAGATAGAGATGTTGTTGAAGATGATGAGGAGGATTTCTTGAGCTCAGAGAGTGAAAATGATAAAGATGAGGAAGATGGTCCAAGTGAAGCAGAAATTGATGGGAATTTGACTTCTCGCTCGTCACATGATAGACCCTTATCGTACGCAATGGAAGATAATAATAAGAAAAGACTACTCAAGGAAGATGAGGAGAGGCCAAAGTCATATGCCTTTGGAGAAGGTGAAAATGCAGAGGATCCACAAATCACATCCAAGTAAGTCTACACAAGGCCCTTTTTGATCAAAGTTCAAAACAAAATTAGTATTACTAGGAAATGATGTATTCCAATCAAGGAGTGCCTTTTTTATGAATATGCATTCAAATGTCACATGTACATTACTTTGTTGAACTCTTTTTTGGATTCAGCTGTTAACCCTAATATCAGTATTAACCCTAGTATCAGTATTAACCTGTTAACCCTAATATCAGTATTAACCCTATTATCAGTATTAACCTGTTAACCCTAATATCAGTATCCATATTCTTCATGCTGTTTTTGAAAAATTTCCTTGGTACTGATGAGGAGAACTTGTTTAACAAGCAAAGTTTCTTAGGTTGCAATCTTTCTTTTATTCTGATGATCTTATAAATGATGCAGCAGTATAACTGTATGGGGAAATGAGATGCCTTTCCTTGGAGAAGTTTTATAGGAAAACTCATAACTTGACATGAGAATTTTGCATTAAATTGCATGCAAAAACTGATATCACATGAATTGCATTTTAGCAATGAGTGCAGTATCAGTTCTCAAGTGTAATTTAAGGCAGAATTCATGAGTCTTGTAATAAATTTTCCTTGAATGGCATAATTGAATAAAAATGAGAAGAAAAGAAAACAGCATTACTTATACGCAGATGCGAAACAATATCACTTAGCCTTGTTTTCAACTCACAATTCCAAGCTAAATACGTGGCTTTGTTAACCAATCAGAATGTGAGATTTTATTCACTGATGCAATTTTAATTGATATTTATCTCACCACAACTTCATTTTCAAGATCTCTAAGTTTCCTTAATTCCTGTGTATTTTTTCAATTATATTTTAGCTTAAGGGCCTTTTCCGACCAAAGAAGGAGAATCAAGCCAACCAGAAGGCATGCAGCCAGTAGTAACCCTGTGCGTCAACGTCAAAACAGAGATGACCTAAGAACCACTACAGATGTAAGTTAATCCACAGTTGATAAACTAGTCACTTAGAGCTTCATCCAGTTGCAAAGTGTTATAGTAAATAAATATTGTGAAATATGATTATGATGACTTGCATTATATTTACTGACTGTGATTTTCAGCTGAAAGGTGTTGTTTATCAAATCGTAATGTTGATACTAAAATTTGGCCATTCCCTGACTGACATTCTAAATAACATGAAAAATTTTGTCCTTCCAGATTTTAAAGATCCGAGGGGAAGAAAAGCCATCAATGGCAAACAAGAAAAGTAAGCTGACGTTTCAAGTTGTTTGACTTATTATAGGGTTGATTAAGAAAGCTCTCTTCTGTGTTTGTCAACACAAGGTTAAGTATTGCCCATAACTAGTGGCACTGTTGCATTTTCTTTTTTAGGAGCAGCTAAACTGTACTCTCCTGAAGACATAATTATTCTGAACACTTTTCCTAACCCCCTTTTTCAATGTTGTTAATCACTAATTATTCTGAACCATCTAGTGGGACAACACAGGGGAGGCAGTAGATGTCCAAACAAATGTGTCAGGGCGAGTAGGTCTGTAGATAATTGTTCTCTTTCCAGATAGGATAATAGTCAGTTACTCTACTTCCCTCTTGGGTTTTTAATTTCAGTTCCCTTGACAATTCAGTGCGGCAGAAAGACTTAATCCGTGAGTTAAGAATACCATATGATAAGCTGCACCAGAGCTGGAATCAAGCATTTTGTTTGGAGTTTGAAGCACTGAAACAAGGCCATTGTGTTCCTTACAAATGAAGATAATTTTGTTGTTTAACTTTAACTTACTCCTCAGGAAAACAGAAAGGTTTTACTGATGAAGCAATTGCTGGTTTGTCAAGCACAGAAGATCTGGCTTCTGCGAGCACTGCGCTGAGAAAGACAGCTAAAGATGCTTCAGGAGTTAGCAAAGAAATAAAAGATTTTGGAGGATTTTTGCCTGTAATGCTGTTACAAATTAAAGGTTTGTGCCAGACAACCCAATAAACCCTGTGCTTTTCATGATCTGATAAAAAATTCTCCCCTTAACTTAAGAGATTTCTTTGTAAATTAGGTTAGGGAATCAGGTGCTACATCAGGATTAAAGCCTTAATAAGCTGATTACAGTTGAACTTGTATTAAGTGGTCAGTTGTCATAGGAGACTTGCAGCAGGCAAGGCCATTTAACTATGTCCATGGTGACAAACTTCTTGCATACTGCTAGGAGAAAAGAAACTCCAATTGCTCCCAAGAGCTCCCAATAGGAGTTGAATGTTGCATTTTGATTGGATAGGATGAACTCTTACTTGAATTGGTGGAGATTAATGGTTATTTAATGTACAAAGCTAATGTCTCACAAGATTTCCAAGCTTGAATTTCACTGGTTTTTTTTTTACTAGAAGTTAAAGAATGAAATGTAACAAAGATGGCTCTTAGCCATGACTTATGCAAAGGGGCTTTTGCTTTAGGTTCAAGGCATATTCAAACAAGATTGGTTGAGCCTTCAGTCAAATCACTTAATTCTGGAGATGTGTTTGTATTGGTCACTGCAAAGGACATCCATTTATGGAATGGGAAGGATGCCAGCATAATGAAGAAAGCCAAGGTATGGTGCATCCTGTTTTCACATGGAAACATCTTATAGGGAACACTTCCTATGAAATATGAATGCAGTTATGTCAACCTTAAATGAAATTTTTTCCTGGGCCATAGGGTTTTTACTTTTAAAGAATCAACTCTTCAAATATTCTGAGATTAATAAGAACTTTACTAGACCAAGTAGATTATTAAACGACTAGGTCTTGCACAGGTTGGGTGGGAACTGATGAATAGTCAAGGTTGGGTGGGAACTGGTGAATAGTCAAGGAAACCAGATGAAATGCTGGAGGGTAATCTTGGGATGGACTGGCGTCC